TTTTGATATACAATCCATCTATTAGTAATGCTACTATACTCCGCATAGTTGAAAAGAAATGTTTAAAGAAACAATATACCAAATCCACGTCTTAAATATACTAAAAACGTCTATTGTCATGTAACAACATCCGCCATAGTACATAAATACCGACAGCTCTCAATTTACTTGTAGAAAGACATTAGAAAGATCAACATTTCTAAATTTCCCCAAAATTGCAAATGGCGGCCAGTAGCATCCACACCGTTACTGTCAAACTATGGCCGATTTCAGTACTAATGTACGCTCTTAACGCTTTAAAATACAATGAATGTCTGCTTAAATACCTTGAATATGCAGCCTTGTAAACATCTTGTCAGTAGCAGAACTCGGAACGATGCTGTAGTCAACGAAATGCAGAGCGATAGGTAGTAAGAGCAATGGCGATTCTGTTAAAAACAGAGGGGACCGTTGGCAACGACAACGGTAACTACATGGAGACGAAGTCAGAACGAGGCGTCATCGAATGTTTTCGGCAACGTCAAACAGCCGGCCATAGCTGCATGTCATGGGGCCAAATACCTGGCGATTTTAAGGTTTTAAATCAATGCCTATATGTTCAAACACCGGACATACCGTAGTTCACTAAAACGTCGTACCTGTTAGATGTTGAAAACACACTATTAACTCTCTGACACCGTGTAAAGATTAGTGCTTATAAGGAGAAGGTTAAGGATTCGTTTTCAGTCAGAAGAGTGCAAGTCTTCCGATTCCCTTTTCGCTAATTGACATATGTTTATCTCCGACAGAGAAGTTGTAGTCTATATGCTTGTTGTGCCAGCAGTAATGGACAGATGTACTTCGGGATTAAAGACATCTGCGTGAAGCTGAATTACAGAGGACATAATTTCTTGACGGGGACCATTTCTTGTCATGGACACTGGACGTACTGACGGCTGAAATCAAACGCCAGAACAAAAGGAAGCAGATCCTGCTTTGAAGGCCGTTGTCATGGTTCCCGTCGGTGATAAAAACAAGTGCATGTTGTGTTTGTTTGAACAACGAGTATTAACTGGCAAACTGGTGAATGTAGGTAGTTGCTGGCAATGTCCATTCATCTGACGTGGGGACCGTCTGGTGGTGTGTAGCTCGTGGTGTACGTTTAAGGATGCCGGTAGCGGCACTAATTGCTGCGGAAAGACAAGCGGCGCACTTTGCCTCGGACACAGGCCTCAGACCACAGTTACCCCCTTAGCTTTGACCATGACCCGGAAGGAAAATATCAGAATATAGTGCCTTGTTTTAATGGGCTGTTCTGTTTGTGCTAATTTTTTTTAGGCTGACTTGTGATAGCTTAAATGAAAGGTAAGACATTGTACTTTATTGCAAAATGTTTTTGGTCCACAATCTACACATGGTATTGACACCAGCCTTCCTTGATTTGACCCCAAGTTCAAGGCTGTCTAGTGTGTTTCGGCTCGTAACTTCCGGTAACCATTGTTTACAGTGGATACAGCAAAATTGACATGGTCGATCCAGGCCCATATTTTGCCGGTTAAGTGACAAGTGGAAGGTTGGTCAGCATGCAACAGGAGAACAGCCTACGACCGATATTAATTATGGTGCACTGGCATGTCACTGTAGATAGCAAAGAAGGAAAATAATTGTGGTCTGAGGCCTGCCTGGCTGATAAACGCGCGCTAATAAGCTGACAAGGGCAGTCTCCCCTTGTGCATAGGCCGCGAGCAAGCTGGACAAGAGACTGGTCCATCCGTTCCCTCCAAATACACAGTAAATTAAAGCTAATTAACCTGCTCGCGCGATTAGATAGTTAATTGTGTGCATGATTCCATAAGAAATGAACGCAATCTCAACAAAATATTTCCACCTATGTCCCCGTTCATCTGAAAGCCAAAGCAAGGTCCGTGCGTCTAGTTATAAGACATAGTGTAACCTGCATTGCTCGTAATGATCGACCTGTTGTGACAGTCAGCACGGGTTGTCCGTGCATGGATTTGCTCAGTGAACCTGATCTACCTCACTCACTCACACGCTGATATTGTGTATTGTAGCCCATATTTGACCTCGAAGTAAAGGGCACCAATCCTGTCCAAGTATCATACAAGGCACTTATTATTATGTCTATTACCTGGATTGAAAATGAGCATTAGGCGAGGAGGAAATCCCCTCTGCCAGTCTCAGAACGTGTATAAACATCCACAGAACAAGGGGGGCGGTTAAACAGCTACACTGAGCAATGGGAGACTACTCTCGATTATTCCCGTGTGCATGTAACGTATAGCAAGTGAAGCCATCGTAAAATATCCAGTCATCCGACATCAGGTTTGTAGCCATGGCTACACACGAGTACAGACTTCGTGATTTCCATCACAAAAAACGTGTAATACACTCATCTGGGTGACAGCAACACAGCGGGATAGAGCAAATGACCCTTCATTATCTTCATTTGTAATTAGTTTACTCTTATAGCAACTCCAAGATATTTCAAAAATAGGCTTGCTTCGGCTGCCTCTCCTGCTGTGTTGCTGTCACCTAGCTAAGAATTGGAATTGATCCAATCGAGGAAGGACAACAGACTCATGTGTATACCATTCATTAATATTTATTTACATATAATCAAGAAATAGAATGGCAAGTGCTGAAAGAAAGTATCCAAATCGGGGCCAAAAGAGAAGATCAATTCTCTTATTAGAAGAGAAATAAACTTAGAAATGTCAGTCAAAAGGTAAGCCAAAATATACTTGATCGAAAGGGTGTGTCCTGAAATAAGCCAAAAGGGTGTAGCCAAAAGAGACCCAAAATGGGAAATGGTATACCAGACGAGCACCAAAACACATAATCTCACCAAAAAACCACTTACACACGAACATACATGCAAAACTCATCATCACGCATTCGCCCTCACACTAAATAGCCCATGAAAACACACTCCCTTTTTTTTTTGAACAGTATGCTGCTCAACATAAGTTCATGGCCAGAAGAGCGACTAATCCACAAGTAGCAGATTACTTGTGTCATTTGAGGTCCACTAGACATCTGAAGGGTTCCACATTGTCTGCTTATCTTGCAGCAATCAGTTCGGTCATCACCATGAAGACAGGGGTGAAATTGACCAAAGTGCCTGAACTTATAGCCCTGCTGAGATCATTCAAGTTAGAAGATCAACAACAGAAGTTCAGGGCACCAGCTTGGGACCTCAATATAGTACTACAGCACCTCATAAGTGAGGTATATGAGCCGCTGACAGAGACGACATTTGAGTTATTAACTCAAAGGACGATATTCCTCCTCGCCTTGGCTATTGCAGCTCGGATGTCTGAGATACACGCCCTTGACTTCAGCCGTACGAGATTCAACACGGGAAGAAGGGAAGCAGTCCATCTAGACCTTAGATGGGACTTTATAGCCAAGAATCAGCTGCCGGGACAACCGGATCGTCAATTTTACGTTCCAGCATTATCAACTATCTTGGGTCCGCAGGACACTCAAGATCTATCACTATGTCCGGTCAGAGCGCTGAAAATCTACTTGCAGAAATCTGCTACGAGAAGGAGGAAGTTCAAGCGTCTATTTATCCCGCTATCACCCTCTACGACGGTAGAAGTCTCCCGTACTACGGTCTCCTTTTGGATCAGAGCGGTGATCTTAAGGGCCTACAAAGCAGCAGGGTTAGAACCTCCAAGAGCATCTAACCCTCATGAAGTAAAAGCATTGGCCTCGACACTCGCCCTACATGGAAACTGCTCAATATCATCTATAATGGAAGGCTGCTTTTGGAAGTCAGACACTGTCTTCGCTAACCACTACCTGAGAGACATCTCCACGGAAGATGTATCTGGTATACATCAATTTGGCCCTCTAGTCATAGCGCAGCAACTCACTATGCCGGCCAGACGATGAAGAATCTCACCCGTGTCACGCAGACTCGTTGACCCCAGGCAACTGTTCCATTGCCATCGGCTAAGAGTCCATGTTCCCCTGTTTTACGAGATAAAACAGCGCATGAGTGATACATAGACTCAGTTATGGTAATGTTCTTGCCTTAACAGATGGGTTGCGATACCAGTTTCGGTAATGTTCTTACCGTAAACATATTGGATCGTTGCAGTAAACTAAATCCACAAAACTTAAGAAGTTTACTTCTAATACGAATGTATAAGAAGGTGGTCCCCCAATTAACATCAAGATAATATTGAAGTTAGCCGCAGATGAAGAAAATTCCCAGGGCGTAAATCGAGCGAACGCTGACGTTCATACAGGGAATCCCGTAGGTGGCTCTACCACCACCTATCCGTGGATTTAGAAAGCAAATATCAACCAACACCTCAGCCAACACCATCACAAGATACTTAGAGATACCAACGACTGCTACCTCCTGATTTTAAATATCAAGGCAAGTTTCAACTTTGTAATGTTACAATGTCTATGCAATATGCTTGTACTGTGGTTCCTCATAATAAATACAACCAGTTGTATATGGGTTTGTTGACTTTTATTGGTAACATAAATTCCAGACATTCAAAGACATTGGCATCACAAGATCTGTGGTTCAACTGAGTTATTTCAGTGCTCCATCTGTCATATCTCCACAACTATAAACCTCCAGTGACATCACTCTATTGTCTCGCCAGGTTCTTCTTTTACAGAGTAAACCTCTACAGGCAGATTCGCAGGCTTCCTGTGGATTTTCTACAGAATTGCCCGCATCCCTGGTATTTTCTGAGGAATAGCCCTTGACTTTGAATTATTACTTGTTTTGAAGATTGATATAACTTTGTCTTGCTATCACTGAATGCCATTGTAAATATCACATTATTGAAAACTTCCAACATATAGTGCCGATACCAGGTTTCGAACCCGCAACCCTTCGCTTACTAGCTTGGTGGTTTTATCCACTAGGCTACGAAGGATCGCTGTGAAGAATAAGATTGTTTGTCGGCATGAACCGTGTGTTCCTCACAAGACGGGTAGTGCGGGCATCGCACATGCAGGACACGGGTAGTGAGTGCATTGTACGTGCAAGGCAAGGTGTTGGCTGCCAGTCTCATCCCAGTTGATTTCAACAGTAAATACCAAATATTAAAATTATATCTAAAGTATATCTTCAGTTGGTTTATAAGAGCGATAAAACATGGCCCGCGGGCATTATTAAGAAGTAAGGATGTTTTCCCGAGGGAATGTCCAAGGGCCGTACCTATACCTATAACGTTGTGAAAATTGTAGTGCTGGCACTGTCCTGTGATCTAAACCTGCTTTCAATGTGGAGGTAACAGGCACTGAGATCTGTAACTGTCCATACGTAACAACATATTTCTACCAACTGATGCTGTTATGTATTTGTTACCTGTCACACACCATATAAATGGCATAACACAAGGACATGGATTTCATTTCTCAGTTCACCTCAAGAGCTAGAATCATTCACATAAACACATCACATGGAGCAATACACTGGTTATAATCAGCCCTTGCACAAAACTATACAAGTGCATATGTAATCTGTAGAACATGATGAAATTTCTCTCAAGTGGAGAGAAAATCTGTGAAAGAATCTGGTTAGATTAGAAATTTGGATTTTTCAAACTGGAATAATTGGAACTTTAGTCATATATAGGAAAAGTAAAATGAGTAAACAACAGCTCAATTAAAATTAAAACTGATTCCTTCTACATGTTCTAGCATAATAGTTGTAATGTTTTGATCAACCGCAAATCATCACGTAAAACTGTCTGCTTGTCAAAGATGCTCCTTTTCGTTTCAAACCAAAAATACATTAAGTTTCAATTTATGACAAGCGGCTTTTGCTCTACATTTCTGTCTGGAGTTGTTAAAATATCAGTTTATAACTCAACCATTCCCAGGTCCACTCCCCATTGGTGATGGCAAAACAGGCTTGAGAGTAGAATGTACCCCATGTAATCTAGGTTTGTCCTTAGAAACTAAATGGAGCAGGTGGTCAGTTGAGCTGACGAGTGCCACAACAACCTGACTCATGATGTCATCCCTTGTCTCCTCAACAGGCAGGTCACAGATGGAACTTGACAATGAGTACAGTGTGAACCTGGACCTAGATTTTCATTCGCTCTCTTAGCGCGAAGATGGCCATAAGTGCCATACATTAACATTAACTTACGACTATATTAGCTCTAAGAGAGCTTCAAAACTATTGGCCCTGAATATTACAGTGATACTATAAAATTGGCATTTCTAAGTTGTTTTCTGCATAAATGTGAACAGAACATGGTCAGAACAGATCAATGAGAAAGATTCCTATGCAATGATCCATGTCCTATCCATTGGTAAATATCATCATATAACAGAGTAATGAGGCATTCTGGTTACATGACACTGAGGTACAGATGGCTGCATCATAATTCTGATTACAATGTCCAAGGCAACAGCTAGTTCCCTCATACTTCCATGTGCTCGGCAAACCATAACATTATGTTCACGAAGGCATCAGACTCGGCTGGGACGGTGATGATGGGATGGGAGTTGTCTTCGTATGCCAGGAATCTGAAATGACCAGCACCAGCACTCTAGGTACAAGAAACACTTCAAGTATGTAAGGGGCCGACATATTTTATGGCTTTTGGGGGGTGTGGGTGTGTGTTTTGATTATGATTTTTAAGGGGGGTCACCTATTTTGTTTTCGAAAGGTAGTGAGTGTCATCAATTATGTACACCAGCTGTAGAAGTCACTGCAGTCACATACATCCAGCACACGACACCTGCTGTAGGAATCACTGCAGTCATATACATCCAGCACACTACACCTGCTGTAGGAGTCACTGCAGTCATATACATCCAGCACACTACACCTGCTGTAGGAGTCACTGCAGTCATATACATCCAGCACACTACACCTGCTGTAGGAATCACAGCAGTCATATACATCCAGCACACTACACCTGCTGTAGGAGTCACTGCAGTCATATACATCCAGCACACTACACCTGCTGTAGGAGTCACTGCAGTCATATACATCCAGCACACTACACCTGCTGTAGGAGTCACTGCAGTCATATACATCCAGCACACTACACCTGCTGTAGGAGTCACTGCAGTCATATACATCCAGCACACTACACCTGCTGTAGGAGTCACTGCAGTCATATACATCCAGCACACTACACCTGCTGTAGGAGTCACTGCAGTCATATACATCCAGCACACTACACCTGCTGTAGGAGTCACTGCAGTCATATACATCCAGCACACTACACCCTGCTGTAGGAGTCACTGCAGTCATATACATCCAGCACACTACACCTGCTGTAGGAGTCACTGCAGTCATATACATCCAGCACACTACATCTGCTGTAGGAGTCACTGCAGTCATATACATCCAGCACACTACACCTGCTGTAGGAATCACTGCAGTCATATACATCCAGCACACTACACCTGCTGTAGAAGTCACTGCAGTCATAGACATACAGCACAGTACACCTGCTGTAGAAGTCACTGCAGAGTAATATACATCCGGCACACTACACCTGCTGTAGGAATCACTGCAGTCATATACATCCAGCACACTACACCTGCTGTAGGAATCACTGCAGTCATATACATCCAGCACACTACACCTGCTGTAGGAGTCACAGCAGTCACACACATCCAGCACACTACACCTGCTGTAGGAATCACTGCAGTCATATACATCCAGCACACTACACCTGCTGTAGGAGTCACAGCAGTCACACACATCCAGCACACTACACCTGCTGTAGGAGTCACTGCAGAGTCTGGGCTAGTACAAGGAGCCGCACATACACATACACACGCATGCACGTCGTCATATGAGCGAAATATTCTCAAGTACGACATTAAACCCAATTTCACCTCACCTCACACCGGTTGTGGGAGACACTACAGAGTCACACACATCCAGCTCATTGCAAATATTCAATGTTAATGGATGGGAGGCAACAACACAATATTAAGTGACCCACATGACAGTTCTGTTCCTGGCTTTAAGACAGCGGTAGTAGTGAAGTGCCTGAGTGGTGGGCACACGCAGGTCGACCTTATAACACAATGTTAACTGACCCACCTGACAGTTCTGTTGTTGGCTTTAAGACAGAGGCAGTACTGTCATGCCTGAGTGGTGGGAACACGGAGGTCGACCTTACAACACAATGGTAACTCACCCACCTGACAGTTCTGTTCCTGGCTTTAAGACAGCGGTAGTAGTGACGTGCCTGAGTGGTGGGCACAAAGAGGGTCGACCTTATAACACAATGTTCACTGACCCACCTGACATTTCTGTTCCTGGCTTTAAGACAGAGGCAGTACTGTCATGCCTGAGTGGTGGCCACACGGAGGTCGACCTTACAACACAATGTTCATTGACCCACCTGACAGTTCTGTTCCTGGCTTTAAGACAGCGGTAGTACTGTCGTGCCTGTGTGGTGGGCACACGGAGATCGTCCTTTCCGATCATCAGCAGAATCGGGGTTGTCACCTGCAACATGTGGATCAGCTGATTCTGAGGATCCTTACACTTGCAACAAGGAAACAGGTCTGTAAGGTTCAGAAACATATTCTCCACACATTGTATTTACTCTCAGGAAACGACTTACATTGTCTTAAGAGAGAACTTGACACAATGTCAATGTCACTAAAGAGACACAGTCTACCTGGCTCTTAACTGAGGGGAGACACATCGTCTACCTGGCTGATGTAAGTGAGGGGAGACACTGTACCTGGCTGACATAACTGAGGGGAGACCTCTTCCACAGCTCCCCAAGGATCTCAGCGCTTGACAGTGAGGTGAACTCAAACTGCTGGCCAATCTCTTCAAACACCCTGGAAGATAAAAAAATTATATACTGTTTACACAAATCTGACTTCAGTATTTCAGCTATGAGGGTGTATAAACATTCCCACTTAACTCCTACTTATAGGTGATACCCCTTGACCACATCCTTATTACAGGTAATAGCCATTGAACACATCCTACTTACAGGTGATACCCCTTGAACACATCTTAATTACAGGTGATAGCCATTGAACACATCCTACTTACAGGTGATACCCCTTGAACACATCTAATTACAGATGGTATCACTTGACCACATCCTACTTACAGGTGATACTCCTTGAACACATCCTACTTACAGGTGACACTCCTTGAACACATCCTAATTACAGGTGATACCTCTTGAACACATCTAATTAAAGGTGATACCCCTTGAACACATCTTACTTACAGGTGACACTCCTTGAACACATCCTACTTACAGGTGATACCCCTTGAACACATCCTACTTACAGGTGATACCCCTTGAACACATCTAATTACAGATGGTATCACTTGAACACATCCTAATTACAGGTGACACTCCTTGAACACATCCTACTTAAAGGTGATACCTCTTGAACACATCTAATTAAAGGTGATACCCCTTGAACACATCTTACTTACAGGTGACACTCCTTGAACACATCCTACTTACAGGTGATACCCCTTGAACACATCCTACTTACAGGTGACACGCCTTGACCACATCCTACTTACAGGTGATACTCCTTGACCACATCCTACTTACAGGTGATACCCCTTGAACACATCCTACTTACAGGTGATACTCTTTGAACACATCCTACTTACAGGTGAGACTCCTTGACCACATCCTACTTACAGGTGATACCCCTTGAACACATCCTACTTACAGGTGATACCCCTTGAACAAATCCTACTTACAGGTGATACTCCTGGACCACATCCTACTTACAGGTGATACCCCTTGAACACATCCTAGTTACTGGTGATACTCCTGGACCACATCCTACTTACAGGTGATACTCCTTGACCACATCCTACTTACAGGTGACACTCTTTCACCACATCCTACTTACAGGTGATACCCCTTGAACACATCTAATTACAGGTGATACTCCTTGAACACATCCAACTTACACGTTATGCCCATTGAACACATCGAACTTACAGGTGATACCCCTTGAACACATCCTACTTACAGATGATACCCCTTGAACACATCCTACTTAAAGGTGATACTCCTTGAACACATCCTACTTACAGGTGATACCCCTTGAACACATCCTACTAACAGGTGATACTCCTTGAACACATCCAACTTACACGTTATGCCCATTGAACACATCCAACTTACAGGTGACACCCCCTGAACACATCCTACTTACAGATGATACCCCTTGAACACATCCTACTTAAAGGTGATACTCCTTGAACACATCCTACTTACAGGTGATACCCTTTGAACACATCCTACTTACAGGTGATACCCCTTGAACACATCTAATGACAGGTGATACCCCTTGAACACATCCTACTAACAGGTGATACTCCTGGACCACATCCAACTTACACGTTATGCCCATTGAACACATCCAACTTACAGGTGACACCCCTTGAACACATCCTACTTACAGATGATACCCCTTGACCACATCCTACTTAAAGGTGATACTCCTTGAACGCATCCTACTTACAGGTGAGACTCCTTGAACACATCCTACTTACAGGTGATACCCCTTGAACACATCCTAATTACAGGTGACACTCCTTGAACACATCCTACTTAAAGGTGATACCCTTGAACACATCTAATTAAAGGTGATACCCCTTGAACACATCTTACTTACAGGTGACACTCCTTGAACACATCCCTAATTACAGGTGATACCCCTTGAACACATCCTACTTACAGGTGAGACTCCTTGACCACATCCTACTTACAGGTGATACTCCTTGAACACATCCTACTTACAGGTGATACCCCTTGAACACATCCTACTTACAGGTGATACTCTTTGAACACATCCTACTTACAGGTGAGACTCCTTGACCACATCCTACTTACAGGTGATACCCCTTGACCACATCCTACTTACAGGTGATACCCCTTGAACACATCCTACTTACAGGTGATACTCCTTGACCACATCCTACTTACAGGTGATACCCCTTGAACACGCCCTAGTTACTGGTGATACTCCTTGAACACATCCTACCTACAGGTGACACTCCTTGAACACATCCTACTTACAGGTGATACCCCTTGAACACATCCTAATTACAGGTGATACCCCTTGAACACATCCTAAATACAGATGATACTCCTTGAACACAACCTACTTAAAGGTGATACCCCTTGAACACATCTAATTAAAGGTGATACCCCTTGAACACATCTTACTTACAGGTGACACTCCTTGAACACATCCTACTTACAGGTGACACGCCTTGACCACATCCTACTTACAGGTGATACTCCTTGACCACATCCTACTTACAGGTGATACCCCTTGAACACATCCTACTTACAGGTGATACTCTTTGAACACATCCTACTTACAGGTGAGACTCCTTGACCACATCCTACTTACAGGTGATACCCCTTGAACACATCCTACTTACAGGTGATACCCCTTGAACAAATCCTACTTACAGGTGATACTCCTGGACCACATCCTACTTACAGGTGATACCCCTTGAACACATCCTAGTTACTGGTGATACTCCTGGACCACATCCTACTTACAGGTGATACTCCTTGACCACATCCTACTTACAGGTGACACTCTTTCACCACATCCTACTTACAGGTGATACCCCTTGAACACATCTAATTACAGGTGATACTCCTTGAACACATCCAACTTACACGTTATGCCCATTGAACACATTGAACTTACAGGTGATACCCCTTGAACACATCCTACTTACAGGTGATACCCCTTGAACACATCCTACTTACAGGTGACACGTCTTGACCACATCCTACTTACAGGTGATACTCCTTGACCACATCCTACTTACAGGTGATACCCCTTGAACACATCCTACTTACAGGTGATACTCTTTGAACACATCCTACTTACAGGTGAGACTCCTTGACCACATCCTACTTACAGGTGATACCCCTTGAACACATCCTACTTACAGGTGATACCCCTTGAACAAATCCTACTTACAGGTGATACTCCTGGACCACATCCTACTTACAGGTGATACCCCTTGAACACATCCTAGTTACTGGTGATACTCCTGGACCACATCCTACTTACAGGTGATACTCCTTGACCACATCCTACTTACAGGTGACACTCTTTCACCACATCCTACTTACAGGTGATACCCCTTGAACACATCTAATTACAGGTGATACTCCTTGAACACATCCAACTTACACGCGTTATGCCCATTGAACACATCGAACTTACAGGTGATACCCCTTGAACACATCCTACTTACAGATGATACCCCTTGAACACATCCTACTTAAAGGTGATACTCCTTGAACACATCCTACTTACAGGTGATACCCCTTGAACACATCCTACTAACAGGTGATACTCCTTGAACACATCCAACTTACACGTTATGCCCATTGAACACATCCAACTTACAGGTGACACCCCCTGAACACATCCTACTTACAGATGATACCCTTGAACACATCCTACTTAAAGGTGATACTCCTTGAACACATCCTACTTACAGGTGATACCCTTTGAACACATCCTACTTACAGGTGATACCCCTTGAACACATCTAATGACAGGTGATACCCCTTGAACACATCCTACTAACAGGTGATACTCCTGGACCACATCCAACTTACACGTTATGCCCATTGAACACATCCAACTTACAGGTGACACCCCTTGAACACATCCTACTTACAGATGATACCCCTTGACCACATCCTACTTAAAGGTGATACTCCTTGAACGCATCCTACTTACAGGTGAGACTCCTTGAACACATCCTACTTACAGGTGATACCCCTTGAACACATCCTAATTACAGGTGACACTCCTTGAACACATCCTACTTAAAGGTGATACCCCTTGAACACATCTAATTAAAGGTGATACCCCTTGAACACATCTTACTTACAGGTGACACTCCTTGAACACATCCTAATTACAGGTGATACCCCTTGAACACATCCTACTTACAGGTGAGACTCCTTGACCACATCCTACTTACAGGTGATACTCCTTGAACACATCCTACTTACAGGTGATACCCCTTGAACACATCCTACTTACAGGTGATACTCTTTGAACACATCCTACTTACAGGTGAGACTCCTTGACCACATCCTACTTACAGGTGATACCCCTTGACCACATCCTACTTACAGGTGATACCCCTTGAACACATCCTACTTACAGGTGATACTCCTTGACCACATCCTACTTACAGGTGATACCCCTTGAACACGCCCTAGTTACTGGTGATACTCCTTGAACACATCCTACCTACAGGTGACACTCCTTGAACACATCCTACTTACAGGTGATACCCCTTGAACACATCCTAATTACAGGTGATACCCCTTGAACACATCCTAAATACAGATGACACTCCTTGAACACAACCTACTTAAAGGTGATACCCCTTGAACACATCTAATTAAAGGTGATACCCCTTGAACACATCTTACTTACAGGTGACACTCCTTGAACACATCCTACTTACAGGTGACACGCCTTGACCACATCCTACTTACAGGTGATACTCCTTGACCACATCCTACTTACAGGTGATACCCCTTGAACACATCCTACTTACAGGTGATACTCTTTGAACACATCCTACTTACAGGTGAGACTCCTTGACCACATCCTACTTACAGGTGATACCCCTTAACCACATCCTACTTACAGGTGATACTCCTTGAACACATCCTACTTACAGGTGATACTCCTGGACCACATCCTACTTACAGGTGATACCCCTTGAACACATCCTAGTTACTGGTGATACTCCTTGACCACATCCTACTTACAGGTGATACTCCTTGACCACATCATACTTACAGGTGACACTCTTTGAACATATCCTACTTACAGGTAATACCCCTTGAACACATCTAATTACAGGTGACACGCCTTGACCACATCCTACTTACAGGTGATACTCCTTGACCACATCCTACTTACAGGTGATACCCCTTGAACACATCCTACTTACAGGTGATACCCCTTGAACACATCCTACTTACAGGTGATACTCCTTGACCACATCCTATTTACAGGTGATACCCCTTGAACACGCCCTAGTTACTGGTGATACTCCTGGACCACATCCTACTTACAGGTGATACTCCTTGAACACATCCTACTTACAGGTGACACCCCTTGAACACATCCTACTTACAGATGATACCCCTTGAACACATCCTACTTACAGGTGATACCCCTTGAACACATCCTAATTACTGGTGACACTCCTTGAACACATCCTACTTAAAGGTGATACCCCTTGAACACATCTAATTAAAGGTGATACCCCTTGAACACATCTTACTTACAGGTGACACTCCTTGAACACATCCTAATTACAGGTGATACCCCTTGAACACATCCTACTTACAGGTGATACCCCTTGAACACATCCTACTTACAGGTGATACTCTTTGAACACATCCTACTTACAGGTGAGACTCCTTGACCACATCCTACTTACAGGTGATACCCCTTGACCACATCCTACTTACAGGTGATACTCCTTGAACACATCCTACTTACAGGTGATACTCCTGGACCACATCCTACTTACAGGTGATACTCCTTGAACACATCCTAGTTACTGGTGATACTCCTTGACCACATCCTACTTACAGGTGATACTCCTTGACCACATCCTACTTACAGGTGACACTCTTTGAACACATCCAACTTACAGGTGATACCCCCTGAACACATCTAATTACAGGTGACACGCCTTGACCACATCCTACTTACAGGTGATACTCCTTGACCACATCCTACTTACAGGTGATACCCCTTGAACACATCCTACTTACAGGTGATACCCCTTGAACACATCCTACTTACAAGTGATACTCCTGGACCACATCCTACTTACAGGTGATACCCCTTGAACATGCCCTAGTTACTGGTGATACTCCTGGACCACATCCTACTTACAGGTGATACTCCTTGAACACATCCTACTTACAGGTGATACTCCTTGAACACATCCTACTTACAGGTGATACTCCTGGACCACATCCTACTTATAGGTGATACTCCTTGAACACATCCTACTTAGAGGTGATACTCCTTGAACACATCCAACTTACAGGTGATACTCCTTGAACACATCAAACTTATAGGTGATACCCCTTGAACACATCCTAGTTACTGGTGATACTCCTTGACCACATCCTACTTACAGGTGATACTTCTTGACCACATCCTACTTACAGGTGATAGCCATTGAACACATCCTACTTACAGGTGATACTCCTTGAACACATCCTACTTACAGGTGATTCTCCTTGAACACATCCTGCTTACAGGTGATACTCCTTGAACACATCCAACTTACAGGTGGTACTCCTTGAACACATCAAACTTACAGGTGATACCCCTTGAACACATCCTAGTTACAGGTGATACTCCTTGACCACATCCTACTTACAGGTGATACTCCTTGACCACATGCTACTTACAGGTGTGACCCCTTGAACACATCCTACTTACAGGTGATACCCCTTGAACACATCTTACTTACAGGTGATACTCCTTGAACACATCCTACTTACAGGTGATACCCCTTGAACACATCCTACTTACAGGTGATACCCCTTGAACACATCCTAGTTACAGGTGAAACTCCTTGACCACACCTTATTTACAGGTGATACCCCTTTAACACATCCTACTTACAGGTGATACTCTTTGAACACATCCTACTTACAGGTCAGACTCCTTGACCACATCCTACTTACACGTCAGACTCCTTGAACACATCCTACTTACAGATGATACCCCTCGAACACATCCTACTTAAAGGTGATACTCCTTGAACACATCCTACTTACACGTTATGCCCATTGAACACATCCAACTTACAGGTGACACCCCTTGAACACATCCTACTTACAGATGATACCCCTTGAACACATCCTACTTAAAGGTGATACTCCTTGAACACATCCTACTTACAGGTGATACCCTTTGAACACATCCTACTTACAGGTGATACTCCTTGAACACATCTAATGACAGGTGATACCCCTTGAACACATCCTACTTACAGGTGATACTCCTTGCACACATCCAACTTACACGTTATGCCCATTGAACACATCCAACTTACAGGTGACACCCCTTGAACACATCCTACTTACAGATGATACCCCTTGAACACATCCTACTAACAGGTGATACTCCTTGAACACATCCAACTTACACGTTATGCCCATTGAACACATCCAACTTACAGGTGACACCCCTTGAACACATCCTACTTACAGATGATACCCCTTGAACACATCCTACTTAAAGGTGATACTCCTTGAACACATCCTACTTACAGGTGATACCCTTTGAACACATCCTACTTACAGGTGATACTCCTTGAACACATCTAATGACAGGTGATACCCCTTGAACACATCCTACTTACAGGTGATACTCCTTGCACACATCCAACTTACACGTTATGCCCATTGAACACATCCAACTTACAGGTGACACCCCTTGAACACATCCTACTTACAGATGATACCCCTTGAACACATCCTACTAACAGGTGATACTCCTTGAACACATCCAACTTACACGTTATGCGCATTGAACACATCCAACTTACAGGTGACACCCCTTGAACACATCCTACTTACAGATGATACCCCTTGAACACATCCTACTAACAGGTGATACTCCTTGAACACATCCAACTTACACGTTATGCCCATTGAACACATCCAACTTACAGGTGACACCCCTTGAACACATCCTAAGTACAGGTAATGTCTCTTGAACACATCCTACTTACAGGTGATATGCCTGATTCATCAATATCACCTACCACAAAAGTCTGTTGATCAATCCTGGCATTGGGAATTTAGAATACCCTATAAACGCACTGTTTATTCAGTAAAAAATGACGTTATGTTAAATGGACTACTACCACAAGAGCCATGCCTCAACATGAAGCTTAAATCTTACCAGTCAGGAATATCAGTCACCCCATACATTGCTGAAACACAAACAGAGGTGGTCAACTGTCAGTGATACCAACACAAGGTCTAACCACCACCAGACCTACATTCATTCCATATTGTTGGCTGTCATATGAGGAAAATTGTTCCCCATATAATCTTTGTGGACTTACTACATTTGCACGGTGTTAATCTACTGTACATGTTTCCATTGTTTCCTTGGACAAGCCATCCAGTGGCGATCACAATAATTGGGCTCCTAAACTGAGGTGAATTGAACACACACCTTTGGTACATCAATACAATACCTGTACAATCCCCCCGATACTATCATTACCAGCATGCATCAGTCACGAGAGCTCAAGAGGTATATTAAACTGCTGATCGTACCAAAATAATTATTAGTAGTGAGAGATGTGTTTTAGTGGTGTTGAGCCAATGACTAAATGTAGGTCTGGTGGGCGTGACCAAAACTATGTGATACAGAACTCACTTGTCAGGTATGTCACCACAGGTAGCTTTGTCTGAAACACATGTAATAGTCCTCCTCAACAACCACCATAACTACAGTCCGTTTGAGTCAGAAACGGACCGATGAATTGCAAATTTTATCATTGTACAAAATTGACACATAAATATTAATAGTATACATGTTTATCATTTACTAATACCCAACAGCTTTCTTATCTTTGCAAATTTTCCGGACTCCACCAAAAATGTTCTTTAAGAAACTATCATTAAAATTGTGACACAGTTCACTATTTGTTACGAGGGAGGAGTGCAGAGAAAGGGACAGCCAAGTGTGCGAGAAAGGATGGAGACAGCACAGCACAGGCTAATGAATCAATAACTTGGTGGGCACTTGTGCTTCTCTAACACCTGGCTGTCCCTTTCTCTGCACTCCTCCCTCGTAACAAATAGTGAACTGTGTCACAATTTTAATGATAGTTTCTTAAAGAACATTTTTGGTGGAGTCCGGAAAATTTGCAAAGATAAGAAAGCTGTTGGGTATTAGTAAATGATAAACATGTGTACTATTTATATTCAAGTGGCAATTTTGTACAATGATAAAATTTGCAATTCATCGGTCCGTTTCTGACTCAAACAGTCTGTAGGTTCACAGCTAGGTTCACTCCCATGATGCATGCATCATAACTAGGTTATCTCCCTCATGCAGGCATCATAGTCTGTCGTACAGACCCTGAAGCAAATATATCCAAGAAAGCCCACGCAAGTCTAGGAAATGTGGCAAGCCTAGATTTCCTCAGCTTCAGGAGGAAGTCTCAGGGCTCCTTTTCATTATATTATATTTTTTTTTACTATGAACTTTTTTCAGTAAAATATGTTCATTTCAGAGACTAGTTGTTAGTCTACAGGTATCACAACTAGGTTATCTCCTGATACATGCATCACAACTAGGTTATCTCCCTGATGCATGCATCACAACTAGGTTATCTCCCTGATGCATGCATCACAACTAGGTTATCTCCCTGATGCATGCATCACAACTAGGTTATCTCCCTGATGCATGCATCACAACTAGGTTATCTCCCTGATGCATGCATCACAACTAGGTTATCTCCCTGATGCATGCATCACAACTAGGTTATCTCCCTGATGCAGGCATTACAACTAGGTTATCTCCCTGATGCAGGCATCACAACTAGGTTATCTCCCCTGATGCAGGCATCACAACTAGGTTATCTCCCTGATGCAGGCATCACAACTAGGTTCACTCCCCTGATGCAGGCATCACAACTAGGTTATCTCCCCTGATGCATGCATCACAACTAGGTTATCTCCCTGATGCAGGCATCACAACTAGGTTCACTCCCCTGATGCAGGCATCACAACTAGGTTATCTCCCCTGATGCATGCATCACAGCTAGGTTATCCCCCCTGATGCAGGCATCACAACCAGGTTCACTCCCCTGATCCATGCATCACAACTAGGTTATCTCCCTGATGCAGGCATCACAACTAGGTTATCTCCCTGATGCATGCATCACAACTAGGTTATCTCCCCTGATCCATGCATCACAACTAGGTTATCTCCCCTGATGCATGCATCACAACTAGGTTATCTCCCTGATGCATGCATCATAACTAGGTTATCTTCCCTGATCCATGCATCACAACTAGGTTATCTCCCCTGATGCAGGCATCACAACTAGGTTCACTCCCCTGATGCAGGCATCACAACTAGGTTCACTCCCCTGATGCAGGCATCACAACTAGGTTATCTCCCCTGATGCATGCATCACAACTATGTTATCTCCCTGATGCAGGCATCACAACTAGGTTATCTCCCCTGATGCATGCATCATAACTAGGTTATCTCCCTGATGCAGGCATCACAACTAGGTTCACTCCCCTGATGCAGGCATCACAACTAGGTTCACTCCCCTGATGCATGCATCACAACTAGGTTATCTCCCCTGATGCAGGCATCACAACTAGGTTCACTCCCCTGATCCATGCATCACAACTAGGTTATCTCCCCTGATGCAGGCATCACAACTAGGTTCACTCCCCTGATCCATGCATCACAACTAGGTTATCTCCCTGATGCAGGCATCACAACTAGGTTCACTCCCCTGATGCATGCATCACAACTAGGTTCACTCCCCTGATGCAGGCATCACAACTAGGTTATCTCCCTGATGCAGGCATCACAACTAGGTTCACTCCCCTGATGCAGGCATCACAACTAGGTTATCTCCCCTGATGCATGCATCATAACTAGGTTATCTCCCTGATGCAGGCATCACAACTAGGTTCACTCCCCTGATGCAGGCATCACAACTAGGTTCACTCCCCTGATCCATGCATCACAACTAGGTTATCTCCCCTGATGCAGGCATCACAACTAGGTTCACTCCCCTGATCCATGCATCACAACTAGGTTATCTCCCCTGATGCAGGCATCACAACTAGGTTCACTCCCCTGATCCATGCATCACAACTAGGTTATCTCCCCTGATGCAGGCATCACAACTAGGTTATCTCCTGATACATGCATCACAACTAGGTTATCTCCCTGATGCAGGCATCACAACTAGGTTCACTCCCCTGATGCAGGCATCACAACTAGGTTCACTCCCCTGATCCATGCATCACAACTAGGTTATCTCCCCTGATGCAGGCATCACAACTAGGTTATCTCCTGATACATGCATCACAACTAGGTTATCTCCCTGATGCATGCATCACAACTAGGTTATCTCCCTGATGCAGGCATCACAACTAGGTTATCTCCCCTGATGCATGCATCATAACTAGGTTATCTCCCTGATGCAGGCATCACAACTAGGTTCACTCCCCTGATGCAGGCATCACAACTAGGTTATCTCCCCTGATGCATGCATCACAACTAGGTTCACTCCCCTGATGCAGGCATCACAACTAGGTTCACTCCCCTGATGCATGCATTACAACTAGGTTATCTCCCCTGATGCATGCATTACAACTAGGTTATCTCCCCTGATGCAGGCATCACAACTAGGTTATCTCCCCTGATGCATGCATCACAACTAGGTTATCTCCCCTGATGCAGGCATCATAACTAAGTTAACTCCTGATGCATGCATCACAACTAGGTTATCTCCCCTGATGCATGCATCATAACTAAGTTAACTCCTGATGCATGCATCACAACTAGGTTATCTCCCCTGATGCATGCATCATAACTAAGTTAACTCCTGATGCATGCATCATAACTAAGTTAACTCCTGATGCAGGCATCACAACTAGTTTAACTCCCCTGATGCAGGCATCACACTAGTTTAACTCCCCTGATGCAGGCATCACAACTAGGTTAACTCCCCTTATGCATGCATCATAACTAAGTTAACTCCTGATGCATGCATCATAACTTGGTTAACTCCTGATGCATGCATCATCACTATGTTATCTACCCTGATGAAAGAATCATACCTGAGGTAACAGCTCAAATCAAGCATTACAAAAAGGTGATGCATGCATTAGGTAGACCACAAGGACCAGGAGTTTAAAGATCACATATACTCTAGGGGGATACAAATACATAAATCACTAACTTGCATCGCTATAAATGAAACCCCGTCATTCAAACTACTCACTTCGGTCTTTAATTAACTTAAATCGACCTTTTTGACAACAGTGCACAATTCTCACCCGCGAACGAAATTTCAACCAATCAGAGCGGGGCATCTCTGTGACGTCATATGAGGAATAGATATGAGGGCCGATGCAGAATTCATCTACATTTCAGGGGGTAAATTATCTTGTTTACCGGTTTGTTATAACCTGAAATCGTGACAACTGTTGTGGAAAATGAAATCTATATGTTCTCACAATCTACTGTCATTTAATTTTGACTCCTGCTTTGCCTAGTTTCCGAGTTAAAACTTTGTTTTCATAGACGATTCTGTCAAAATCGCTTGGCGTCGTTAGGCCTTATTTGTATAATTACTGATCCAAATTGATCCTATTTCTGTGTTTTTCACCTCGATATTTAATCATGTCATGTAAAAATCTGTTTGTATTCTCAAAACAGTGTTGGCCCATAAGTTTTCACATGCAACAGAGCAATTAATACTCCCTTGTTGTAACCCGTGTTAGGTGGTATAAACCTACACATGTTATTTGATGGTCAGTTAATGAATTTATAACAGGTATAATTAGTGGTAACACACTTAGATTACCCGATAAAGGTTCTCATTTGGCATTTCTTGTGTCTGGAGTAAATATTCAACATTATAAACATCGATCAAAGGGTTAACCGATTTCACGCTGATTGATTAATTACTTTTATCTTACACAGCGGATTTGTCAAAAGGTAGTGTTTGTGTATGTAGATTTACTAATCTATACTGAATACACTCTGTCGTGTCGGTGTCTGCGTAAAAACAAAGTCCTTCTTTCAAAGGATTAACCGGCAATACATTGATTGATTGCCCATTATTGGCTAACTAAATTACTGTTTTTAAAGAAAGGCGGACATTATGCAATTAGTTGCCAGGTGTGCTATCTTGGGTGACCAATGAGACTATACACC